CAAAGAAGGAATCTGTGGTGCTTTTGATGCTGGGGATGCCCCCTGGTTAATGCCAAGGGAAGCAGCCCTGGCTTATTCTTAAGGGCTTGCAAAATGTTTTCCCTGTGTGTCACCCCATCTCGTTTCTCCGTGTCTGCCCCCAGCTCTCAAAGTGTTCCTGCTGCTCATGTACAGCACGGTGATGGTTGCCCTGTACCTGTCTCCCCTCGTGATTACCTCCCCCTGCATCATGGAGGAGAACCAGCTGCCCCCCAAGCCAGCCCTGGTGGGCCACCGCGGGGCCCCCATGGTGAGTTGAGCAGCACCCGGTGCCTCGTGCTGCTGTGGAGCAGCATGGAGCAGCCAGGGCATCCATCAGACCCTGCTGGTGCAGGCTGGAGGGCGCGTGGCCGAGGAGGGGGTGCAGCAGCCCTCAGGGTGGAGGGTCTTGCCAAGCTCTGCCCGACTCGGAGCGTGCAGTTCTCTGCAGAAAGCCTGGCTGCACCATGGGGGCTGGAAAACACGGGCTGCACAGCGGGGCTGTGTGCGGGCAGCCCTGCCAACCCTCCCGGATCCCGCACGGCACCAGGGTCAGCCTAGTCTGGGGTGTTGGTGTTGGGTGCTGTGTGCGGCTTGGCAGCATTAGCGCCTGCCTCCTGCCCCTTCCAGCCTGTGCCCTCTGTGCTGACACTGCTCTTTTTACAGCTGGCACCTGAGAACACCCTCATGTCCCTGCACAAGGCGGTGGGCTGCGATGTGCAGGTCTTCGAGACGGACGTCATGGTGAGGTAAGGGGGCAGCAGGGACCGGGGGGAAGCGGTGCCTGTATCCAAGGACATCACTACTCATGGGGTGCACCGGAACAAATCTGACAAACTAAGAGCCTGCATTTGGAGATAGCCCTGCTCACGGGGCTATTATATTGCCCTCTTTCCTATATGGGCCTGGCTTCAGGCTGGTGCCCCAGTGACCTGTGGTAGGAGCTGGGTTTCTCCCCTCTCCACTGATGTTACATTCCAGTGCATCAGAAGAGAGGCATTGGGAGGGGAAAGACACTGCTGGGAGAGCAGACCCCGGGCTCTAACTCATTTCTTGCAATCCCACAACTGTTGCAGTGTGTGAGGAACTGCTTGGTTCATGGCTTAGCCCCCTCAGTGCTTTGTGCTTTGCAGACACTCAAATCCTTGCACAAAGGCCCAACAGGAGGCCAGGGGGGAGCGGCCTCCTCAAGATATTAGGACCTGGGGCAGGTTTAGGGAACAAGCAGCCTGCAACACGAGTGATCTGCTCCTCTGCTAGTGCCGATGGGGTCCCGTTCCTCATGCATGACGAGAAGCTCACCCGGACCACCAACGTGCAGGACGTGTTCCCCGAGAGGGCCTCACTCAACAGCACTGCCTTCAACTGGACAGACCTGCAGCAGCTGGACGCTGGCAGCTGGTTCCTGGAGGTCAGGATGCCCCTGGGGTGTCTGGTCAGGGATGGGTGCACTTGTGGGTGAAGTGGGATCCCTGGGGGATGTTCCCTCTGCAGCGCTGGTCCTGGCAAATACCTGGACAAGGTACAGAAACCCTTGCAGAGCTGCATGTTGGTATGGTTACACCCCAAAGCTGGCTGCTGGAGCTGGGATTTGTTCTGGCTCCTCGGCTGAGTTGCAGAAGAGGCAGGTTTGAGGGTGGCTCATGTGCTCGGCCAGGGTTTGCTCCGAGCAGCACAGCCTGCCTGGGCTTGGAGGAGGCTGGAGCAACTCAGCTCACAGAAGGTGACTAATGAACTGCTGAGCTGCTCTGAATGCCCACGGGTGCTTGAACGGGGCTGGTAGAGCAGGGGAGATGTGCAGGGGAAGGAGCGCCGTGCTGCTTCGTGCTGGAAGGACAGAATAGGAGGTTGGGGACAAGGGTTAGGCACCAGTTTGGGAGCTGGAGGCTTGCAGGCTCTGCCTGTGCTGGCTAACTCTGCCTCACCCTCGCAGCGGAGGCCGTTTTCCACTGTGCAGAGTCTCTCTGCTGGCGACCGCAAGCAGGCGAGTAAGCAGAAGATCCCATCCCTGGAAGAGGTGCTGGAGGCAGCCAAGCACAGCAACATCTCCATCATGTTTGACCTCCGGCCTGAGAACCACACCGATTACCAGAGCTTTGTCAATGCCACGCTGGACGCGATCCTGCAGTCGGGCATCCCACTGCAACAGGTAACGTGGCCACTGCCCCACCACTGCCGGGCCCTGTCCCAGTGGAGTCCTGCCTGCCAACCCTTCTAAGCATCCTTGGTACCCCAAATTCTGCACTTCTCTCATGCTTCCTCATGGGCCTCCCTGGCACACAAGAGATTTTGCAACAGCTAGTTGCTAATCTCAGGCTTTGTAGCTTTGCAGCATCTCCTGTAAGGAGATGGTGGAGATATCTAGCTTAAAAAAGTAAAAATAAAAAAATAATTTAAAAAAAAACTCTATTAAGGGTTAATGCCTGAAGCTTCAAACCCTCCCAGTACTCTGGTTCCCCAGTGCTTGCCACCCCAATGTGTAAACAGTGACTCAATAGGGAGGGTTGCTAGTGAGAGCAGGAAACAAAGCTGGGGTTTCCACATCTCTGCAGCAGCCGCCCTCCCTCCACCATCCCACACCTGGCCCTGCAGCTCCCTGCCTTTGGCTACGGCCTCCTGCCCTTCCTTGCACTTCAGCCAAGCTCTGCAGCCAGGAGACTTGCTGCCCCGGGGGGATGAGTTAGCACCCAAAGCACTTTCCCTCTTGGCTCTTTGGAATTCCAGGCAGGAGGGGGTTATTGCCAAGGCTCGTGCCCTACTGCTGATTCAAGGCGTGTTCTCACTGCAGGACTGGAGCCAAATGGATGCTTTTATAGATCCATGTAAGGACCCTGAAGGGATGTAACAGTCCTCCTGCAGCTTTCTTAGGCTGGGACTGTTTTTGCCCCAGAGTGGCATCTGTTGTGCTTATCTGTTGGCTGGGACAAGTCCTTAGACTGTCCTGGCTGAGATGGTTATGGAAGAGCTGAGCAGACACACGGAGAGGGGGCAGGAAGCAGCTGTCTGAGCAGACTGTGTGTTCCTAGCCTGTAAAGAAACATCTGAGCAACACAAACTTCTCTGATGAATAGTGTCTTCTCTGGCTCCTGCCTAGATCCTCTGGCTGCCAGATGGGTTCAGGGAGCAGGTCAAGCAGCAAGTCCCAGGCGTCCAGCAGGTTTATGGCCGGAAGAGACTCCAGGATGAGAAGGAGCCACTGCTGCATGTTAACCTGCCCTACCAGGACATGAGCTCCGAGGAGATCAGGTGAGAGCACTGCGTCTAGGTCCTGTGAGCACAATCTCAGCTCTGTCCCAGTGTCCAGCAGAGGTGAGCAGCCAAGGCTGAGCACTGGAACAGGGGATACACCCCAGCCTAGTGGACAAGCATGCCTCATCAGGCAGGGCTGGTGTGAGGGATGGAGCTGGCTGCAGTCCTCAGCGCGGCCAGCAAATCTGCCCCGGATCTGGCTCTCCAGCAGCTCCACGTGGCTGCAGGAGCTGGCTGGCGTCCCAGGCAGCCAGGCCGCTGCGAGCTGAGCGTGCTGGCACCCCGCTGTCTGCCGCGCTCACCGCCGCCGTCCCTCCGCAGGCAGTACCGCCAGGACAACATCTCCGTCAACCTGTACGTGGTCAATCAGCCCTGGCTCTTCTCGGTGCTGTGGTGTGCTGGGGTGAGCTCCGTCACCACCAACGCCTGCCAGGTGCTGAAGGAGATGAAACACCCCATCTGGCTGCTTGTAAGTGACCCCTGCATCCTTCACAGGCCCTGCTCTGTCACAGTCCTGTGCCCCAGGCTGCTGTGGTCTCCTCCTGCAGTGGCACCTCAGCAGCTGTCTGGAGGGAGGGTGGGTTTAACCCAGCGCTGTGCTGGGAGGGATGAGCCTGGGAAGGGGTGGCCCTGCACAGGACAGGCTGGCAGAGCAGTGCAGGCTGTGCCACCAGAGCTGGCTGGTGCTCATCGCCGCCTTGTTGCCCTGCAGCCCAGCAGCACCTACCTGATGATCTGGATCGTTGCGGACTGCGTCTCCTTCCTTATGATCCTGTGGGCCTTCCTCCTGGTGAAGTAAGTCTGGCCCTTTCGCCTCTCCTGGGGAGGCTGCGGTGTGGCCTGGTGCTTGGAGGGCACCCAGCCCAGCAGTACCAGCTGCTGCTGCCTGTTTCTGGACTGGGATCCTGGGAGTCCTCTCCTGTCTGGCTGTTAAGGGAGACAGAAGTGTATGGAGAGAGCTTTTATCACAAGGCTGCAGCCAGAAATCTGGCCTGGCCCCTCCTCGAGCTGCTGGGTGCCTTAGGCTCCACTCACCAGCTTGCTCTGCACTGCAGGACTGGATGTGTTGGGGCGAGGGGGTGTGCTGGGCTGCGACCTGCTCCTTCACCAGTGCCACTAGGTACCGAGAGCAGCGCCCTGGGGGATGAGAGGGTCTGCAGGAGGCCGTGGGAGGGTGCAGCGTGACCCCCTATTCCAGACTGACATGGATCCTATTCTGTCTTCTAGGAAATGCTCCAAGAGAAGACGGGCAGCAGGTGAGGGTGCATGGATGTGAGCTGCCCCCTGCCTGCAGAGCCGGCCCTGGGGCACGGAGCAGCTCTCCAGCGGAACAGGACGGAGCTGTTCGGGATGGCTGGGGATGTGGGAAGGGAATCCCAGCCCCGGGAACTCCTGTCCAGCCCCTCCTGCGGGACAGCGCTGGGGAACCCCACATACCCCCAGCCTCCTCGGACCTGCTTTTCAGGCTGCTCTGCTGGCCGCTGCGGGAGAACGGCTGCCTGCACTGACTGTTATCGTTCTCTCTGCTCCCCCCAGAGTCCGAGACGGACGTGCTGCTCACCAAGATCAACAGCCTGATGCAAGAGTGACCCTCCGGCCTGTGCCCGCCCTGGGGAGGAGCAGCTGGAGCCGAGCCCAGCTCGAGGGGAAGCTCCTCAGACCAGCTCCAAGGCTCCCTCCCTTTGCAGACCTCTCCCCAGTTTCCCCTTTCCTGCAGCTCTCTAGGTTCCTAGTGCACTGCAGAGCTAGCCAGGAGCTGCATTTTCTTGCTCCCTCAAGCATGGATGGGGCAGGGCCTATGCAGGGATTTCCTGGGGAAGCTCAGGGCAGCTTTTCAGCAGAGCTGGGGCCAAGACCTGAGGCAGGGCTGCTGCTTGGGGGGGATCCTGAGCACCGTTGTGGGCAGGGGCAGGGCAGTCAGTGCTGCTCAGTAGCAGTGGGGCAGCGGGGGGCACGGTCTAGGGTGCCCTGGACCCCAGGAAACCTTGTTTAAGGTGCTGCCTGGGGGCCGTAGAAGGGAGCTGTGAGGGAGGGGGCTTTTTAGAAAACAGAGACAGGGCTGGAGAGGGGGCCCTAGGTGCTGCCCTCGTGCTTGTAGGATGAGGACCCCGCAGTGCCCCGGGAGCAGGGGCTGCAGCAGAGCGCGTCCCAGGCACCTCCTGGGCCCGAGCGGCGTCACTCGCGCTCGGTCCCCTGTCGCGCGGGTCCGTGTCACTTGTTCC